TGGCTGGCACTGGCACCCCTGGTGAACATGGCTGAGCCCATTAAAAAACGTTTCAGCCTGGCGCCTCAACCAGGCTGAAAAAGATGAAGTCGCCAGGCGCACCCGGGCTGGCGAAGATGAGAAGACTGTTACCCGTGAGATCCAGTTGAAAAAAAGCCGAGGCTTCTCGTGACAGGAAAGCTGCTGCCCAGGCTGTTGCTGACCGAGCCAAGCAGCAGGACATGGCAGCTAAGTTGGCCAAGGGAAAAGCTGGCCAGAAAAAAGCAGGGGCCCCAGAATTTGTTCAGACAGTGTCGTCTGATGATGCGACCAACAAAAGTTACTACACAGATGTGCAAGCCGACTGCGAAGTCATATTAGCAGAGTATGGCAAAGACTTTCAGCAGGCCAAGCCATTGTCACTTGGCAATGACGTAACCGGCCAAGACACAGGAGTGCAAGATGCGTTCAGCAAGGCGAAAGCTGCCCAGTCCCTACAGGCACATTCTGTGTACCGTTGCTCGATCAGTGTGTGGATGCTCAACTTGCTGACTTCAGCAACACCATCCATTCCGCTGTCTCGGCGGCGTGTGGTGGAGCTTTGCGAATTCCACTACGGCCCCTGCGGGGAGCCAAAATTTATAACTGACAGAAACATTGAACGCGGCATTTCTGAGGGGGAATTGGCCACAGACTCGCCTTCCGGGCTACTCATGATTTCTCCCGAGGAGATTGCGCACTCGGTTCTGGCAGGGTGTGCTCGGGCCATCAAGCTTGGCACTTATTATATACAAACTCGCCAATGAGTGACTGAATGAATCATTTTAACTGACTTTAGCGTCTATCTTTGAAATAGTTAAATTCAATTGCCAGGTCTCGCCCACTTGACGATGAGGACAAGTGGAAAGCCAAACGTGAGAAATGGAGATGCATTCTCCTCAGCATCCCGTGCAGCTTCACAGTGGTGGCTCAGTCTGACATTTGGTGGAAGAGCTTCAACCGCCGGCAGGCCCTCCAGCAGGAACACGAATCGCTCAGCCGCACAGCGGTACAATACAGCATGGAGATCGCTGCAATGAAAAACATTGCCGAGGCTCAGTGCGGAAAAAAACTGACGGCTTCCGCTCTTTCAACGGAACTGCTTCGCTTGGGACTGCAGCCCATCGTGGCAGGCAATAAAGGCCCTGGACAGGACGACGAAGACTCAGGCAATGGTTGCCTGAGCGCCAACTTCATCACAGCTGCGCTGAATTGCCAGAAATGGGTTGTGGCAGACCCAGCCTGCATGGAGATGCTGCTGGAATTGGAAGCAGGCTACGGCACAAAATCACCTTTTCACCGGATGACTGTTCTGAACTGTCTGGCCATGAAGGCGACGAGCGCCAGCAGCAGGCAGTGGTCCTTAGCCACAATTTGTGATTGGATAGCGCACGGGTTGCTGAAGTGTTCAGACGTGACGAAAGCAACGCTGGTTGGCGATAAACATCACACGGGCCTCATACCCCTCTACGAGACCAAGTTGAAGGCTCTTTCAGTGAAATTTGTGTAATAATTTGACATTGAATTGTCCAGCCACTGACTTCAACTCAACACAGAAGCTCGCAGGTGATGGGCGCTTTTTTCGATGATTTCTTGCCAAAAGCCGGTCTCCGCGACGAAGATAGGAAGCAGCTGAAGACAGCCCTCAGCTCCCATTCAGCCTACCGGGCGCATAGTGCTGGGACAGGCGACTGCAGTTGGCAAGCGTCCCTGCTTAAGTCCGGCATCCTGACCTTCGAGCTGATCGAGGACGCTGGAGTGGATATATTGAAATTTTATAATAATATTTTTGTAATATAATAAATATTAATCTGGCCCTGGCAGGAGCTTGTGTATACAAGACAGCATGACCACACGCTGAAGCAAGCGGCCAAACAGGGCGCAGTTGAGGCGGTCATGGAGCATGACAATATCAAAGTCAAATGGGAGAAAATAGGAGCACAAATTGCCAACGAACTGGCTGAAAAGCAAGCTCTGACAGCTGTGGCGGGTGAGGGTTCGGCCGACGAGGAGGAAGAAGAGACTGTGGTCCCCGAACTCGTTCACATTGCATTCGGCGCCGTACTGGCGCGCGGTGGGGAATGCCACCGTCCGCACGTACATTACACTGTGCCCAGAGCCCAAAACCCTGGCGGCTGTGGCAAGCGCGGTCAGTCAATCGAACTTGAAGTCGGTCGGAGGCAACTGTGGGGAAAGCTGCGTGCTTTGCTTGCTGGACTTGGACCTACTAGGTGAAACCTTGGGACCGGCATGCCAGGCAGGGCTGAGGCGGCAATTCCAACCGACTCCGGGACTGTTGTCCAAGCTTGTGCACGGCGCCATGGTAGGGCGAGGGTCTCAAAAAGTCAACGATGCAGGTGAAGCCTCCGCTGTCGTTGAAGGGGACGTGATGATCCTTCACGTCGGTGTTGGCCGAGGCAGCAAAAAAAAGCTCAAGGCGCTGTTCAGCCCGACTCTCGGAAGCGGCAAGCAGCAGAGAACAGACTCCGAACTGAAGGAATCTGTCATTGTGTTCAAGGATGACAGCTTGCGCGCCCGGAAAAAGCGGGTCAAAGGAAGCTACACGGCTCATTCTTTGCTTCTCACAGCCAGCTCATCCATCCTGTCCCACTCCGTCCCTGAGAAGACTTACAATTTTCACCCTGGAAGCTGCTGGTCTGATGTCATCTCAGAGGTGGAAGCACTGTCAGCCAGCGAGCTGTGGCACACGACCAGGACTGTCGATTCCATGACTCTGACTGGTGTGATAATATATAGACATAATTAACTCATCCTTTGTCAACCAGGACCGAGAAAGAGGAGATCCTGGGAAAGGATCGACTTGTGGATGTCACAGCCGAGGCGAAAGAGAAGAAACCCGGGCAAGGCGACGGAGGGGCAATGCTGGAATCTGTTTTCAGCGCGGCAATCTTTTCAGACAATTTTTATCGTGACCTCTTCAAAGGGCATTCCGCAAAGGCTGTGTCACTAATCTTGCATTGGCATGTTGTCAGTTTTTGTTGATGATACTTTTTGAAATTGTAAGAATTTAACTAATCTCCTGCTATTATTCTTCGCGCCGTGAAGCAGTGAGGCTGGATTTGAGTGCCGGCCAGGGGGCGGCAGCCAGAGCCGCTCTTTTGGAGCGGGTCCCTTACTTCGCATTGACCCACAGCGAGGCTCACAGCAAAAAGCTTGAGGTTGACCTGACAGATTTCATCGTGTCTGAGATGAAAAAGGAGGGTTCCACCCATTACAGACCAGAAGCCTGCCAAGAGCCAGCTGAGGCTGGACAGTCGCAGCCAGCGCCCAAGGGCAAAGCGAAGAACAAACGCCCCAACACAGAGGGCGGGGACACCAAGCCTAAAAAGCCGAAGCCCGAGCCGACCAATGCCTCCGCTGAACCCAAGTCAAAGGGAAAAACAAAGAATCAGAAGGCAGAAGATGCCGCAGCGGGCGGCGAGGATGGGGGCGCCGGCAACGGCGATGAAGAAGAAGAAGAGCTCCCCTGGTGAAAATAGCTTTCCGCCCCAATGAGGGCAAATTTTGAAGTGGCCAAATTTTTGCACTGGCAGTCACTGCTCCGAACAGTTGGGCTATAGGCAGCACTGAGCGTTCACATTGCAGCTGTGGGGTTTGAGGCGAACTGATTTATTTTGTTTGGGTCGTCCACTGCGCCACTAAAGATATAACCTGGATTCTGAATCAGAGGAAATAAAATGTCTAGCTCAAATAATAATGAACGGGAAACCCTCACAGATGGGCAGTTGCGCTCCAATACGTCTTCTGAGATTCGCTCGGCGTAGAAAAGTGTTGTGAATGCCCTCAGGAATCAGTGACTATAAATCAAGCAGCGCTGAATTGTGACATGGCTTGGAGGCATTTTGGCCCCAGGTTTTATTATTAACAGTTAAGTTGAGGGCGGGGCGATGAAGTGCGACTTGTGTTGGAAACACGGACCGCCGGTGTCGTGGGACCGTGGAGCAGCTCCTGCAATCCCATCCACCAAAGAAGGCCTCTTGACAAGTTTGCAGGCGCATGGGGCAGCTGATGTGGGCGGATTGAACAAAATAGAACTTCGCCACCATTTCTGCTCCTTGATCAGGGGGCGCCAAAGCCCTTCAGATCCGACGAAGGGCATGTCCAACATGACCAAAGCCAGCCTCGAAGTTCGTCTGAAAGAACATGGCATTGATGGCGCCGAGTCCGAGAGTCGACGAACCCGCGGGTCTTTAATGGCTGCCTTGCGCGACCATTGGCTAGAACAATGCCGCCTGGCTGAGGCTGGCGACACTCAGACCGCCCCTGACGAGCCTACGGCTCAACAAGAGTGGGAGTTGGTGAGTGGGGCAGATGCTGCTGTAAAGCAGGTCGCAATTGCGCAGGTGCAAGACGCTATGGAACAGGTGAGAGAAGCCAGCGCTGCATTGCATGAATTAATGATGGGAACAGATCCCTCAGTGCAGGGATGCATTGCCGACAATGTGAATGCCCTCAATAATTTTTGCAGGTCTATGGACAGGCTCATCGGACAGAAAGCTTCCGACTAATTTGTAATTTGACTGCTGCAGCGCGACCTCGGCATAGAAAAAGCACGGTTCTGTCGTCGGCTTCATTAGTAAGACTTAATTTTTTTAGCCTGCCGGCGGTTGAAGCCCCTGCTGGAGGGCCTGCCTCAATTTATTGTATAATAAGACGAACCCTTCTCTGAATCGCCACAGAAGCCACAAACTATTAACTTGAAAAACTCAGAGTCAAAGCAGCAAACTGCTTCTGCTGGGCTGGCCAGTCTGAACCAACCACAGAGCAACCAGGCAACGTAATAAAGCTACAACATCAGTGGCAACAAACCCTGACAGAGCACAACAGTGCAACCATGCAACAACACAACGGTCAGACCATGCGCCGCGTGACAAAGTTGAGCTCAGCCGGCCAGTCTGAGTCATTAATAAACACTAAGCTGCGCAACCAGGCACTTGCCAGGGTATAAATTAAATGTCCTGATGTTAGTTCAATCAATCCAATCCCCAGGAAAAAAACAAAACCGCGCAACCGCGCAACGACAAAACATCACCCAGCTTCGTGTCTCCCAAAACCACCTATCAAAAGTACTCATCCCTTGCACCAACCACCCCAAACCAAGACGTCGGTCGTTGCCGCGCGGTTCTGCGCGAACGAGAGGCCTCGCGGTGGCCGCCTTCACCTGGGACTTCACCCAGCGGCTCCGCGCCGCGGAACATTCCGGCACCGCCGAGCCGGTGCTGGAGAGCCCGCTGGCGGGGCGCCAGGTGGGGTGGGTGAGGGGGATGGAAGCGAAAGGACGAAAAAGGAGGAAAGAAGCAGCCACGAATCGCATGTGGCTGGCATACCCGTTTTAGGCAATAACTATAGTAATTTCTTTCATTTCCACAAAGATCCAAGTGAATTCCTGACAGGCAAATGTACTTCATCACGATGGAATCTCCTGGAACTAGTGGTGGGTGGATCTTTTCCTATTTGAGCATAGCCACCAAAAAGGACAAGAACGCCTAGAGGGAACAGGTGGCAAGAACGCCTAAGCATGGTTCTTGCGGAGGTGCTTTTACCCACCATATAGGCAAAGTGTTCTGCCCAAGAAGAAGTTCAAGGGATGGATATGGTTTGGGTATAGATCATGGGAGCGCAACGACATCCCTGTGAAATCATGGTGGCTCCACCATCGGCTTGAAATGCTTTAGCTAGTTCCCTTTGGGATGTTGAGGGGTACCCAGACACTCCATGGGACTGCCATATATGCCGCCCCATTGACCCCTCTGGCACCACCCCAACTGATCGGCAGTCCTATGGCAGTCCCATGGGTCGTGTCTGGGGTATGATTTGATAGATCAGCGCTCAGGCACGACCCTTGGCGTGGCTCATGGCACTGGGCACTTGGATCACCTGGGTCGCTCGGGCGTTAGCGTGTGGTTGGCGTGTGGCGACTCCCGTTTTCACAGCACGCGACCGGTCCAGGCTGAGCCCGGTTTAGGTGACAAGCCCTTCCTTTTCTGAAGCCAGGTGGATGTTTTTGCGGAATTAGACAGATGTCGTTCCCGAATTGTATTAAAGAGCATGGAATGGCTTTCCAGGCACATGTTTCAGATAATAGCTGAGACTCATTCGGCAAGATATGCATGGGTGTAAATCGGACCCCCCCAACGACCCACCGGACGAAGGAACAATAGACTCGACCAATGGTTCCTGGTTGGGGGGGTCTCCCTATGTCAATACAAACCCATCAAGTTCATAGTTGGGATCCAAGAAACGAATTCGAGTTGGGCATACCCGGGCATAGCGGCATACCCTCTTTCAGGGATGAAAGACTACTGGTTGGGCTGTTCCCGGACGATACAAACCCATCGACGTTTTCGACCTGGCCCAACGGAACCAAAAGCCACCTATGTCGAGTTGACCAGAGAAGCGGAGTCGGTAAGTGGTGTTTACGGATTCGGCGGAGCCGGCGGAACGGATGGGGTCATAGAGCTTCCTTTTTGGGACCAGATCGTGTGTTATGTTGAGTGCAGGAGACTCTTTATTTGGGTAGTTCCGTGGGAAACGATCTGTAAGCTCCAGACTATAACAACTCGTCAGAACAAATTGGGCAGTTCTGTGGTACGTGCTTGGTGTTTTTTTTCTTTTTCCGTTCTTTTGGGCACCTCCACCCCTGTTCTCCGCCGTCGCCCTCCTCCGCCGGGTTTGTGCCGTTTCGATGTAACGACTCGAGGCATCTTACCGCGTGAGCCAGGACCAAGTGGCAAAGACCTACCCTGCGCCCCGGCACCGATGCGGAGGGAGGAAGTCGCTGGAGACCGGGCGATGTCGGCCTGGAAACATGGAAGTTCTGATGGCCGACATCTGGAACAACCCATTGTGTGTGTGTGTGCGTGCCAGGGTCAACCATTATTTGTGTACATTGCAAGTAAATGGTGTTGGAAGGTTTGGGTGACCATACGGTATGTATCGAAATCTATCCGACTCCGGCATTTTTGCGTAGACACCAGGACTTGAGCATTCGTGACCGTTGATGGGCCTGATTGTGACCTCATCACAAGGTCACGAACTGAAGTTCCAAGTCTTCCCACAGGAAAACACCTCCAATCAGCCTGACAACTGCCGGATCCTGTCTCCTGACCACACCCTTTTCATTGACGGAATTTCTTCCCCAACGGCCTCTTCTCTGCCCATCAGCGCACCTGAGGAGCTCAACAACCGCTTGCCCATCAGCAGTGTGGTTGCTC